AAAATGAGAAATACAAGTAAAATAAAATCTTATGTCTAAGATACCCAAAATACAAGGGTAAAAAATGGAAAAATAAAGACAATGGCAAAATAAGCATAAAAGATAAATTCTATGTTAATAAGGCTTAGGAGAATGATCAATATTATTTAACCACAAGAAGCATGTCTCTAGGAGTGTTAGCTCCTCTATCCTCTTCCAAACTCCTAGCCATAGACTTATTGATGGGTCCCACATGAAGTTCCAAGGATGGTCTTCCATCAGTTAATTTCTTTTTATCAATTGTATCCTTGATATTTTAATAAATTTATACTTTTACCTTTTTCTATTTTTTTCTCCTAGGTGGAAATTATTTTCCATATCATGGATATTTAGATAAACTAGGATATTAATTTTCAAAATATATATATATATATATATATATATATATATTTTGTCATATATCCTAAGATAAGATATCATCTATCTCAAATTGAACAAGTCTCCTAGCAATGCTTAAGAAGCCTTCATTATACACATTCATCTCTTTGAATTTGTCTTGAAAGATCATTTGAAATTTTGAAGAAATTTTTTTTGAAAATACTTGAATACAATGCAATTACCCAAATTGATGTTATAATGATAGCAAATCATTTGCATTAAATAATTATATATACCCACAACAACTCACAAGATAGAATGATGTATACTACGCTTGAATAACAACCAAACTACATTCTCAATGATGGACTTGTTATTGAAAATAACACTAGCAGAGAAAATATGGGGGACAGATTTATTGAGATGATTCGTAACGATGTTGCTAATTTATTGTGGGATGTTATATGGGAGGTATATTTTGTATATTAGTTTATGATATAGTTAATATATAGGATATAAAATATAATTCAAAATATTCTAAAAACATTTTTTAAGTATATATTATACTCTTTTTTATTTTTAATATTAGCTATTTATTTAAACTAATATACTTTTTTTATTATTTAATTTAATATTTTAATAAAATCTAAGATTTTTTAATTCACACTTTTTGTTCATACATTCCTTCAATTGTTCAATATTGATGTTCCACGGAATATCCAAAATAGAGGATGCTATTTTATGAGCACAAATTATTACTCAAAAGGGAAAGGGCAAAATAATGTGTAACTTATTATTGATGAAAAATAAAAAAATTAGAATGTCAAAAAATATTGACTATGACAATTCAAAAGTATAAACATGAAAGGAAATAAGGTACATTATTTAAATTATTATTATAGTTAAATATTTTTTATTAGCCTTTTTTTTACGCTGTACTATTTATTTTAGTTTTTACTTTAAACTATTATTAAAAAAATCACAAATATATATATATTTTTTTTTTAATTTTGTGATTTTATATTTTTCACCTAATTTAACATCTCGTACATATGATTTTACCATTTCATCCTTTACATATTTTTAAGGTTGTCATATCCAAATCTATTTAACAAATTTTTATGTGGCAAAAATAAACTTTTGAGGCCCAATTTTTATAATTTGGATTAATAGGAATTGGGAAAACTCAATCGAGAAGAATTTGGGATCTTGGCTATCATGGCTTTGATACATGAATTGAAGGAAATTTACTATATATCTAGATTAATTTAGTCATGCAGATAGCATGCCTGACACTAAAGAGGGGTTATAATGTTGATAATTGATATATATATTTGACAGCCACCTTAAATAGTGTTGAGTGTAAACCACCTTTAAATTGTTACGCAAAATAATCCATTTTCACCCAAATCGGATAATAAATGATGCATACTACACATGACCTTCAAATGCAATTTATATGAAGCCTAACTCATAATAAATAATTATCCATTTAGAAGTCCAACAGAACATTTCAAAAGTCAGTTATGTGTTATATATATAGTTGCTGTGATATAAATAATGGTTATCCATATTGATATTGTAGACCATCTAATAAATTATTTGGAAACATTTTATTAGTGCTAATATAGAAAAAGATAAACATAAATACGAATAAAAAATCCAACAGATTCAACTATGAATAAATTAAGCCAGGCTAACTCCTAATGGTATATATGTTTTCAATAATTTTCCAATATTATATGGAGTATGTATCAGCATAAGAAGTTAGCTATGAAAAAGGGAATTTTATATATATCTTATTTTTAAATTGTTCATTTTATTTTCATCATTTTTATTTAAAAATTGTGAATGTTTGATTTTTGTTCCCTATCTACTACGGGCTTTACATGTGTAGACTTTTCCCCCCCTTTCATTTAAAGAGATCTAACTCAATCTCACTACAATCAAATAGGATTAAGTTATCAGGTTAAACAATTAAAAAAATATAGTTTTTAAAAATTGAAACAAATAAAAATAAAAAAACAAAGATACTTAATTCAAATTTTATTACAAATGAGAAATAAAAATATCTTAAATAATTTACAAAAAAAATCTTAAACAAGCAAACATTATTTCACTTATGTAACAAATTTTAAATTACATAACAAGTGAAATTAAATTATTCTTCATGTTTCATTCCTTTTTTAATTGTAATAATTTCTTTTGTGTAGATTGGCTCAAACCAAGACTCAATATAAATTTATTTAAAATATATTATGTGTAATATTTTTAATTTAATTTAATAATTTATTATAGGTTGGTTTAGATTGAGTTTATCAAATAGCAAATCTCTTGTTCAGTTATTCAATCTAATTATAATTAACAAAAAAAAACTTATCCAATCCAATCTAATGATCCAACTAAACCTGCAAATTAAAAATATGATTAAATTTGTTTGGGTCTGTGAGTAAGTCATTACGAGCTTTCACCCTTCACAATTTTTTTTAGTTTCCTTTCGTGCTGTTTCGGATCAATTTAGACTCAATTTTTTTAATGACCCCGCTCCCTCTTATTGTTTTGTAATTACGCAGTTAATCGGAATTTCCTTTTTGGTGTATTTTTTTTATGTGATGTACAGAGTTTAAAAGAGTTTGATATTGAAAATCACTTAAAATTGGGCTAATACTGAGTTAATTAATATATTAAGTTAAAATCATCTGAATAATTCAATGGTAAACAAGAGGTGTCACTAATTAGTACTAATTAATTAGAAATTGGGTATTGTATACAAATGTTAAGCCAAAATCTTAAAAAAAAAAAAAAAAAAGCTATTGATCAAATGTAAAACACAAAGCAATAGTACTAGTACTACTATAACAATTAGTGTTACATAATTGAGATTGAGTGTCCATGCATTTGCAAAATGCAATTCATTGTCGATTTGTCACATCTCATGGAGAATCCAAATTCAAAAGTGTTAATTTCCCCTTTCCTTTTTGATTTCTACACGGAACGGACAATGGAGAAAGGGAAAGTGGGAGGGGACAAAAAGCATGTAATTAAGAAAGTAATAAAGATGAAAGATGAAAAAAAAAATGCAGTAGGTGGATCCGGGCATAGTTGTGTGTTTATGCATACATATTCTTTTATTCTTTTCTTTAACAGTTTGAACTTGGAAGGATGAATATATATATATATAGAAAAGCGTGCAATGCCAGACTTCAAGAAAAAGGTGTATTGATAGAAACAAGGAATAGTCAAGAGGATAGCAGTGTGATAAGGCAGAAGGGAAAAGGTAAAAGAATTGGTCCAGTCACAGTCATTGAATTCATTTCATACCCAATGGAATTAACAAAGGCGTTCAGATACAAGACACAGGTTCATAGTGTTGGCACTGTCTAATAAATGCGAATGGCATTGTGAATTAAACGTAGGGTGACTCATTGTGTTGAGTAGTTTTACTCAGAAGCAACTTGAAGCAACTGCTATAAATGCACTTCTCTTTTTACAGCATAGTCTAATCATCTTTTTTTTTCTTCTCGTATCCAATACTGTAACGTGTTTCGCACGACCAAACAAATTGATACAATTAATTAAAAACATGGTTACGGAGAATAATAAACAAATATTCTCATCAAGTACTACTATTACCATGTCATGCTATATATTTGACCATAAATTTGACTAAAATTGTCCTAGTATTGCTCATTAATACTGTTTGTTAATTAATAATGGTCATCTTTCGGTGGAGGATTTCTCTTCTTTATATTGACGTCATATTTATGTTTAGATGCTTTGCAATGATTTAAAATTAAAAAATATTAAAATGCAACTCGAGCTTTGACGTACGGTTTCTTAGTCTCTAGAAGTGCACATCAAAAATGAAGATTTCGGGTTCCATTCTTTTCTCTACCTACTATTGTCAAAACTTTGTGATTAAATATAATAATAAGCATAATGATAAGACTCTCACTCTCTCAAAGACATTGATTAACATATATATATATATGTATAAGTTTGTTAACAGTTATATATATTGAAGTTATGTTAGAAAGTGCACTGTTGTACTTTCTAATTAAAAAAATTACTTATGATTTTCCAGCAAGTGTGATTAAGATAATAGCTAACATTTTCCTAATAATATTAATAAACATAAAAAGAATTAATTTCACAATCAGATACATTAAAATTATGTGACATAATTAACATAAAAAGAAATTCATTTTTTTTGGTAAAGAAAAAAAAAATGAATTTCTTTTTATGTTAATTATATCACATAATTTTAATGTATCTGATTGTGAAATTAATTCTTTTTATTTCATTTTAATCATACAACCATAAATTATATATAAATTATATTTAATCGTACAACCACATACATTTAAATTATTTGATATTAATATCATGTTGATCGTACATTTTGATTATATATTTACGATGAGCTTAATTTCTCGCACATCGTCTCTCACTAATATTCTTTCTTTCTCTAGAGTGTACTGTACTATATTAATATATTAATTACTAAGACAATTTTGTGCCAAAACTCATGCACCTGATTAATGGGAATCAGTGAGATTGACATTTCCAGACTTAGATAACAAATTATTATAGACTAGTAGCATTTCCAAATTAACTTAGGCAAGACCATGAGAAATTGCTTACATTATATGTATAGAATTGATGAATCTGGCAACGTTATGAGTCCAAATTTATACATGATTGTGAGTGACAAAATATGCATTTATGTGAATATGAGTGACCATGATAATTAACAAACCACAATTAAATGAAGCATTATAGCTGAAAAAGAGGAAGAGAGAGGTTTAGGTTTAATTCAACTAATTAATTACCTATTGCATTAAATATGTCACCCCATGAAACCCTAGGTGCGGTTGGAAGTGTGGCGGTCATCGCCCCCGCCAGCAGCACTCTGATGCTGAAGCTGGTTGAGTTGCCCTAAGCTGGCGGATATGTTCATGGCCAAGAGACTGGCATCATAGTTGCTCCCTCCATCAAAGCCTCTCACCACTTGTTGTTCCCTAGGGAAGAATTGGTGGTGATGATAGTGGTAGTGGTGGTCACGGCCGAAGCCACCACCAGTAGACGTGTTCTGGTGATGGTGGCAGGCCGTGGCCGCCGACTCGGACGCTATGAGGCCATGGTTGGTGGTGATGCTCAAGTTTTGGTACCTAGAGAGCTCGGATTTGGCACAATAGAGGTCCATTTGAAGCTGGCGAAGTTGGTGTTGTAGGAGGGATATGACTCCTACACAACCATAGACAGGGTCACGGAGCCTCATTTCAGCTTCATAAGCGAGGGAATTGACGGCGTCTTCACGTTGGTGAGGGTGCAAGTCGTTGAGAAGCTTTGTGACATTGCTTGCCCCAAAAATTCTATGAACGTTTGCGAACTTTTGAGGCTGGTCAGGGGGGAAGTAGGGTGCAAATGCACACTCGGGTTGGCATTTGCGACGCAAGAACTTGCATGCTGCACATGGTGAATTTGAAGATGCCATAGTAGTCACTTCTTGCTCCTCTTCCTCCTAGTCCTAGCTACCTCCTTTTCTTTCTCTCTCTCACACCACCATTAATTTCTGTGAGGCATTCACCATGTTTGTTATCACTATATTGTAAAATAATGGTCATAAATGTTATCAAGAAAAGAGAAGTGATCAATTAATGTGTGTTAGATGGCCAAATCCATTATTTTACGCTTTCTTTTTGGTACAATCCATTATTTTACGCTACACACTCTTTTCCCTCTCCTTTCCTTATTTTATTATTACTACATTTTATAATTTAAAATCGAACCACCCTAATTCTTGTTAAAACCCTAATAAAACTTGCTTTCCTTTTACCACCACATCTTGCGCTAGATTTTTATATTGTGAAATTCTACCCTAATTTTTCTACAAAATTTGGTTATTTTAGTTTAGCTTGAATGGAAAAGGTAAACAAATATCAAGACTAAATAAATATAATTTGGCCAGGGTTTCCCAACTGGGTTTGGTCAGGGGAAAAAAATATAGATTTGGGAGATCCAAGAGGGAAAAAGATGAAAAGAGCAATGGGATTGAGGAAAATACAGGAGTGACAAAAACAAGGAATAGATCTGCATATATAACTAAGTTCAAAGATTGAGTTACCAGTCAAATTTCATATCCTCAGACAAAATCCTTGATCCTTGTGCTGCTGGCTGAGGAATTGAAGACAAAAACCAAGGGCGAGAGTTTGTATAAGAGGAACGAGGTTCTGCCTGGGGAAAAAAATAATGTTGAATGTTTGAAGGCAGAAGACACTCCCTTATGTAACAATGAGACTTGATTGTTTAACTTCGTACGATGGAGGGGTATAAATATAGGGAGAAGAACTTAATTAATTTTATTCTTATGATTCTGCAACATATATAGTCTTAAGTTGGATACATAATATTTCAATTGTCTCTACTCGAGTAATTGGAAGCATTTAAATCTTTATAACATCCTTGACATGGCCAGAAAAATCATTATGCCAGGATAATTGGCTTGTTCATTTTCCTCTTCAGTTTCGTTTTTGCTTTTGCAGATGGACGAAGCCATGAATATATTGATGATCGAGAAACCAGAACATCACTCGGTAATTTACTGATAAAGTGAAAGAAAAATATATTGTTAGAATTAATGGAAGAAATTTTGACACATTTAATAAATAAATGCACGTCAAAAACAAAGATTTTGTAATAGTTCTCTATTTAATTGCTATTTGAATTTACATTATAATAATTTTGTAAAAATTAACATTTTTTTTAATTCATATGCAAAAGGTAGTAAAAAGACATATAACTTAACAATTATTTTCATCACATATACTAATAACGCAATAATTAATGATGACTTTTTATAATTTATCGTGTTCTACATTTTTTCCATTACATGCGTATATTTGTTATGTTTATTTAGAAAATTAAGATATAAATACCTATAAATTATTTCACTTATTTGTATTTTTATAATAATTATTTATATATTTCATCCACCGTTTCCGAACAATTATATATAGGATGTTATTACGGTATCTTTATAAATTAAGGTATTTTGATATAATTGTTTTTTGTTATTGAGTTACATGTTTCACATTTATATGATTTTTCTCTTTACATTTCAATTACTTTCTTGTGTCATATTAGTTATTTAATAAAAATGTGAAAATACAATTTTAAGACCTATTAAACGTGGAGTAAAAAAATGCTTGTAATACTAGTTTGATATGATAAAATGTGACAAGTTTAAGTTATATTTTATTTATTCATCATTTTCAAATGTCGATAATACTTTTAGTTAATTACATGACACAAGTGTAAAACTATAACATAACAAAAAAATAAACAAAGAATTAATTATTATTATTTTAAAAATTGACAATTCCAAAATCCATTAAATTTATGTTGATATGGTAGAATTTCTCTTATATATAAAGCTTAATATATCTCTTGTACAAAGTGCAGTTAAAATGGTCAACACTTTCTCCAAACTTTGTTTTGACAAGTATAAGTTACATTTTATTTATTCATCATTTTCAAATCTCGACAATACTTTTAGTCAATTACATGACACAAGTGTAAAACTATAACATAACAAAAAGAAATAAACAAAGAATTAATCATTATTATTTTAAAAATTGACAGTTCCAAAATCCATAAAATTTATGCAGATATGGTAGAATTTCTCTTATATATAAAGTTTAATATATCTCTTGTACAAAGTGCAGATAAAATGTTCAACACTTTCTCCAAACTTTTTTTGACAAGCATTTTCTAAACTTATAATCGTCTTATTTCTATAGAACAAAGATGAAAGCAAATGAAATTGTAGTATATAATGTTATTTGCATATAAAATATTTTAGGTTATTCCGAAGTTAATAAAAAGACATAATTCATCGTTATATTGTTAAGTATGTTATCAATTTATTTAAGCTTACATTGATTTTGTTGACAAAAAAGAAAAACTACATTTTGGAGAATGGATCAAAAGTATATTATTTTCAATATGCTAATTTTTATTAGTGTATGGTGACTTTTTGAGGATAACCGTAGAGAAAGAAAGAAAAATCAAAGAGTAGAATATGAGCTTTTATGATGGACTCCTCTTCTCCTGGGGTAGGCATGGCAACGGGGCGAGGTGGGGGCGGGTTTTACGTTCCTCGCTCCTGCCCCCGCAAATTTAAATCGCCCCTGCCCCTGCCCCTGATACCTGCCGGGGATGAAATCTAGGTCCTCATCCCTGCCCCCGGCGGGGTTCAGGTTTCCCCTCCCCGCCCCTGCCCCCGCTCCTATTTTTTTTT